AAATTTTCACTGGGTATACTGGGCATACATTATTCAATATACATATCCAATATAATATAATATAATTTATAATTATAATAATTGGTTATAAAAAATCCAAAGCGGCAAATATCTCCCCTTATTTTGTTTATCAGAATATATATCACCATCATGTCATTATATCATAATAATATTAACAGACCATTTAACCACCGAATTTAATTATTCTACCCACCGCGACTAATTACTCATTTTCATTTAATAATTTTTAGTTAACTCTTACTCGATAACTCTGACCTTTAAACCCAATACAAAGGGTCACAAATTATTTTACTAAATTTAAATTATCCATACAAAAATATTACAAGACTGAAAATTAATATCGATCACACGCTGCTTCGCAATATCATCCATTATAATATTTTTATCATTTTTATATCATATCATATCATATCATATAGTAATATAATAATAATTAATTATTAATTTTATTATTATTCTTCACAGTTAATAGTTTTTTATAGGTTAACTATTAGAGCATTAGAGCATATCTAATATGGGTCCTCAATTATAAAATAATATCACTCAGTCACCAATGATATGCTTCATTAACTATATCGTACTTGATCAGTGTATATTAATCAATTAATTATTTTATTTATTTTTAATTAACACTAATATCATAGTAAATGTCTTATATATCCCGAATCAAAATGGCTGACACCCGACATTTTGTTCTAAGATTTCGACATCTTCTTTTTTAATTAAATTAACTTTAAAAAGTTTTAAATGTCCGCTACAGTAATTACAATTATTATTTTATTTTAACCGCTAGGTTTAATAATTTAAAAACACCAAGACTTTGATTATTTTTTTTTTCAAAAAGAAATTATCAATAATTTTAACCTTATAGTAACCTCGAAAAATTTTGATGCTTTGAAAGATTATCTAAAAGTATAGAAGAAGATATGTACTATTGTTATTTTTCAAAGTTGTTTCAATTATATAATATCAATTAATACCCCGAATTAATTAACCGGAGTATTTACATTAAATACTTACCAGATATTAATTATAATATTATTATTATTATTATTATTATTAGTATATTTGTAAGTGTTACAGATTTTGAAAGGTCTTTGGTATTTGGTATAACTATTTTTTTATATACGACAGCAAATTTCGGCGAATATTTTTTACATTTAAATTAAAAACTCAATAATATGTTATAAGTACAAATATTTACAAAACAAATCGATAAATAAAGCGGATTACTATTTTCTCCTGATAAAATTTATTCTCTAAGAATAATAAATATAGCGTATCATATTTATAAATAAGCTGAGAGTGATATTTAACGATAAAGATATATAAAAAACACCAAGTGTGTCAAAGTCGCTTGACAATTGTTTCAATTTTTTAATTGCAATTGAAATAGATCAATTGCAATAAACTTTTGCTTTTATTTTATCAAATAAACGACTTTAAATCTAGTTACTTTTATTTAGTCTAATATATTCGTTGCACATTCACTTTATTTCATGTCTCACTCTTGTTTATTGTGCTAATTAATTTATTTGTTTTTTTTTTTTTTTTATTTTTAGAAAAGTGAAATTTTTGAGTGAAAAAATATTAAATTTTAATGCGAAGAAATTTTAAGAAATAATTTGAAGCAAATTTTGAGAAATAATTTTGAAATAAGAGATTGATTAAAAATAAATTATTTATTATTATTGTTATAATTATTCTTATTATTAAGTTGTTGATAATAAGTAATGACAGCACAATTTTATTATTAATAGTTAAGTTATTTTTAAGCTATCAGTTATTAGTAGAAGATATGTTTAGATGAATTATTTTGTTTTGTATTTTTTACGTCTAAATTATTGCAGGTGTTTTGTACTAACAAAATTTTCCGAGAAAATTTATATTACGAGCTATAATTGACTCGAAAAAACAAAACCTGAAAATAAAGAAAATACATAAATAAATAAATAAAATGATTAATATATAATTATATTAATTTAATCTAATAAATAAAAATTTTTTTACACACTTATAATAATAATTTTTAAAAAGTATGGCATCACAATTGCAGTAAAAGTTTATGGCCTTGTTAATTTTGTTCTTTTTCTATTTTTATTTTCTTGTATCTGTAATTATTACTTTGTTGCAATCGATAATCGGTAATCATAGTCACTCATTACTTAGCTAATACTATCTCTATTAATAGTAAACGGATGCTAATTATTTACATAAACCTTAATTGTTATCCATTAGTCAATATATTAGATAATTCGATACATATAATTGCTAGTATATCCAATCAATAAAATTAGAGTTTTTTAAATTAATAAAAATAAATAAGTTGTAGCTCGGACGTTTTTAAACTGGAAGTTTAGGTATTGCGTACGTAATTATTAAGCCTTGATTTTTAAAAAAAGAAATTTTTAAAAAGTTATTGCTTGATTTTTCTGTTTGTTCTTTTATTTCAATAAAAATTACCCGTGTGATTGATAATTATTGAACAATATAAACAAGGAAAAAGGATTTAGTCCCAGTTATTAATTTGTTGATTTCGCTAAAATTATTTCTACATTACAATATAATAAGAAGTCTTAAAAATTCTCACAAATTGACAGCTACTAATTATTATAATTTATAATTTAAATAATTATTGGTGTTTAATTGCTGTTTATTATTCCAACCCCAATATTTAGTCGCTAATCACCCGGTACGCTTAATAATATTATTACAAGGCAATATCTCGCTAAATGGAAGCCTAGTAAGCAAGTTATTATTTTTCAATAAGATTCCATTGATTGGCTTAGTACGTCAATCCTATTTTTATATTATCTATTAACGCTGGTAATTAATAAGTCCGTTAATAAATCTTCCAGTCAATACTGCGGATTTTTAATATTTACCTTTATGACTGATTTAATGACCTGCAGTATAATTACAATTACAATTAGTATTATTCATAATCAAAATTCATAGCTTATAATTTGTTACTTAATGTTCAGCAATATGAGTGTACAATTATGGGGTTTCATAATCTGCTATTAATTAGGCCTCACATCTCTTTCTCTCATACGATAATTTAGATATACATACAGTTATATACAATTATATTTATATATTATATTATATGGTAAATATCAATTCTCACAATTCATTCGGATGGTTTATGACACGTTTTTTAAATTAAATAAAACTTTTATGAAAAATAATTATTCCAAAATACTTAAATTAAAAAAATACTAAATTACACTCAGTTTAATCGGACATTTTTATGTTTTCTTTTTTATTAATTAATTAATAGTATTTTGGATACTTGACTATTTTTCAAACCTGATTTTTTTTAATGTAATATCGTGTTACTAATGCCATAAAGACTTATAAAAACATTTTTTTTAACTTATGCCTTTTTTATTTTGAGAAAAAAAAAATTCTTAAAGACAAAAAGGCGTTTTTAAAAAAATTTTACTTATATTTTCTGCTTAAAAAATTGAACTGCTGGCTATAAAGATTAAAAATTTGTTAAAATTAAAAAAATTATTTTTAGTTAGATTTTAATAAATTAAGTTTTTTTAATTTTCAATTTTTATATTAAATTTATTTAAAAAAATAATAATTAAAATTAAAAAATTTATATTCCATTTGTTTGAATAAAATTTTTTAATCAGAAATTAAAAAAAAAAAAATAAAAGTCTGAAGGAAATTTTGTCGGGGATATTTTGTCGCCGAATCAATTGTCACTACGGAGTAAAAAAAAAAATATTTTATCCACTTTTTTGGCATTAATATCACGATATAATTAATTAAATAAATATTAACTCCAAAACGCTAAAAATTAATTAATCTCTTTCACTCATTGGAATGTACCGTGAAAGAACAAAAACATTACACCAGGACCCACGCGCTCAAGACATGCAATTAACTAACTAATTAATCAATTTATCAATATTTATAAATCCATAATTACGTATTGAGAAAAGCCAAAGCTCAGATAAAAACTATCAACAAAATTTCTTTACATTTATTTACCTATAAATATTTATATAAATAATTAATTAGTTCCTTACTTCATTCATAGTATTTGTTCTAGAATCATATACAATAGTATATGTAACAGTTGGATTTCGGGCCTTGCCTCAACGTATTCCATACATGTAATTTATTTCTGATCACTTAACATAATTAGATGCTCAAATAATTACGGTATGCATTTCGCTGAGACATTTAGCGGCGCATTATTAATCAACATGATTGGTGTTCATCCTTGTGTGTAATCAACACTCCGTTGACCATAATAATAATTTCTACTAACTACTAAATTATAAATTATAAATTTATAAATAATTTACACTTAATTATACACAAAACAAATACATATTGATATAATACTAATTAGTAATTAATAGCAATAATTATAATCAATAATATACAAATACAAATGGACGTTTGCTATTCACATGTTCACAAACACAAGATTAATATTAATTAATTAATTATAATTACAAATGAATTTAAAAAAAAAATTTCAAAAATATTTTTATGTACACTTAAACTCGAATATAAAATATTTATCAATAAATAATTATTTTTTTTTTTATAATTTAGATTCATAAATTTACTTAAATTAATTATATATAATTGAAATACAAGATTTAGATTTAATGTGCGATGGATTTCAGCCGTTCTAGTTTTGTTTGTCCGAAGCAAAATAATAATTTATTTTTTTTATTTATTCTTACTTAATCGATAAGCAATTTGGCATTTAGTTCACGCAAACGGACAATTAATTTCTATTAAATTGTATTTATAAATAAAGAGTGATATGAATCGAGCTCATGGAGGGCACGAATTCTTTATATTTTAATTACTTTCGATGAAGTGGCGGATGATTTATTATTATTTATATATATCATTTATTATTTATATTACTGATTGATTGACGTTTATGTTTTTGGTTCTTAGTTGTATTGGTTTTAATTTCCATGACTTGTGACGGTGATTTAGTTTTGCGACTGTGGTTTTTTTCCGCCCCGCGGTTTTATGCTCTCGGATATTTGCCACATGGCTTCCTCGCAGAGAAAGTCGCTGAAGTTATTGAAGAATGTTATTATGCGCTCGTTCTTCTTGAATGAATATGTTCTGTAATGATATAATAATTTAATTATTAATAATTAATATTAATTTACGATTTTTCATGTTATTTAATAACCTTACATACCCTTTTTTAAACCTCTTCATATTCTCAACAATATTAAATTGTTGCCATCGCTTTGAGAAATTAATAGTACCGTCTGGTAATAAATCACTGTTACCAATGTGCACAAAAGTCAGATCTTGGAGAACTAATCCTCTGTAAAAAATAATTAATATTAGTTAATATAAAAAATAGAAAATTATTAACCTGCTATAAATAATTAGCAATCTACAGTCACTATTTGACTGTTGGGAATTATGGATTATAAATAAAAAAAATTAACTATAAAAATTCTTTTTTAAAAAAAAAAAAACTATTAAATAAAATTTAATTAAAATTGTTGCGAAAAATTATCAAGATGAATTGAAAATTATCAAATAAAAATAAATATTTAGAAAATTGTAAAAAGACACAAATTTAAGTTACGATTTTTCTAATAATACTAACTACTTTTAAACAAAGAAAAAACAATTTTATCATTTAAATATATCAACGATGAAATTAATCTTATTTTCTTAAGTTATACACTGATAAAATAATTTATTAAAATTATTTTCAATGATTTTTTTGGGAGCAAAATATATTTTTTAGTAATTAAAAAAATCTACTAAAATAAAATAAGTCACTTATTTATATTAAATAAATATTTTTAATGCTAAAAAAGCCTTTTTTATAGAAAGAAATATTTGTTAATATCAAAGAATATTTTTTAATAGTTAAAATTATATATTTTGAAAAAATTGGGTTGTATCTTAAATTATTTATTTTTTTTTTTTAAATAAACTATGCGGATCTATTAATTTATGAAATGTTAATAAATATATGTTCAATCTAAATATATATTTATTAACAATTAAAAATACTTATTATATATTAAAAAATGATTTATTTAATAACAAAAAATAATTTGTTAAATAATAATAAATCCTTTTATCAGTGATATAAATAAATAATAAAATAACTTACATATAAGGTATACAAGGCGGTTGAGTTTCAGCAAGTGCTTGTCGATAAGCCCGAAAGCTGCTAGAACTATCAATCAGAGCACAATATTCCTTAAGACCCTCTGTAATATGTTTCTGCCATTCCAAGCGCCTTATTGGAGCGCTGTCAAGAGCCGACAGTAAAGCCAGATAACTATTGAAATTATTTATCTTCCTCAAGTGCTTCATTATTTTTATAAACTTTACAACATATTTTTCCCGATCCTTAGCCTCGTTCTCCATCCGGTGCTCGAGGATCCTCGAGCGTGCCCAGTAAGACATTTTGTTGAAGTGTTCGGTAAATCGCGTCAAATTGGGACTGCGCTCCTCATTCTGTTCCTGCGCCCAGATTAATACTTCAGGTATTTCTATTTTCATGAACAATTCAGCGTCCAGCAAAGTCATTTGCTCGGCTATTTGTTCGCTTTTGAAGTCAAGTAGCGACGCTTGTTTCGTTGACACGCTCAACGAGGATAAAATCGGTTGCGCTGATTGCAATTGTTTCAGCGCGTGTTTTTCAAGGATTTTCACTCTCAGCGCCTTTGCCATCGTTAAATCACCGCTGCAAACTAATTGCTGAACGAACTCCATCAATGTTTGGAGTAAAACGTCGTCCAAATCAGACATGCTGCAAAAAATTTATAATTAAAATTTAATTTTTATTATTATAATATTTTAATTGAAAATTAAAGGACTATTTTGGTCTAGAGATTAAAAAAAATTGATTTTTTAAAAATATCAATTTAAATTTAATTTTTATAATTATAATAACTTACGTTAAATCACTGACAACTCGTACAAGTAATGAAAAAGCCTCACGCGCAGCTCGTTGCTTAATAATGTCCCCAGAACACGAAAATCTCTGGTGACGTTTGTGTAATTTTTGTATAAGCTCCAATGGTGACATAAATGTTCTGTATGTTGTTAAAAATGCTTCCTGATACAGGAAATCTGCAATAACAAATTTTTTAAATTATAAATTGTCACTTTTAATGGTAAATTTTTGATTTTTTCAATTTTTAAAATGAACAAACCTGATTCTTTTTCGTCTATTGCAGCATAAAAATGACAAATATGAATTTTTTTAATGAAAATTTGCAAAACAATTATTTCTCAGTCATTAAATAACTGAATTATTGTTATTATTAGTAATTTAATCATTTTTTTTAACCAAAACTAGAATAGAATTTGAATTTACGCGCGCAAGCGCGCGCCTTGACTATAGAGTTTGCATATATTTTACAGTGATTTGTTGCTCAGTTTAAATAAAAGCGCGTCTTTAAGGGGGTTCAGTGCACTGGTGGTTCAGTGGTAGAATGCTCGCCTGCCACGCGGGCGGCCCGGGTTCGATTCCCGGCCAGTGCAAAATTTTTTTTTTTTTTTTTTTTCAAATTTAGTATTCTTTATTCTTTTTCATTTTACGAGATTGACCGAAATTCGTAACTTCAAACTTCGAAGAATGTATAATTTTTTTAGATTTCATTAAAGATTTAATTTATTCCTTAAAATAGTAATATTGAGTAAAGTTGAATCAAAGTAAAGATTTGATTGAATAAAGTTGTGACTGAATGAATATGATTTCGAATAAAAATGTAATTGAGTGCAGATGTCGTTGATAGCTGTGAGTAGAGATTTTATGAGTAGAACTGTAACACAGCCATTGTTTTTCGAGTAAAATGCCGTTCGTTTTTTTTTTTTTTCAATACCGTAAAAATCAAAATTTCTGCGACTTTTTTGTAAAAAAATTTCAATTGCGTGAGTTTTTTTTTTTCTTGATAATTTTTCAGTATTTTAAAATATTACAAACTCATCCCATAGCGACATGTCGAGAGTAAAGCACTTCCACACGCTCACGCGTGAGGCGTGCAATTATTAGGAATAAAAAATAGCTGTTGGGTTATTTAAAATAACTTTTATATTAAAGTTTGACGCTAATAAGTCAATATATAATAAGTCCGCTCCGTAATTATTCCGACGTGTTTCCTCAATGGGTTAATAAAAACATACATTTTAATTACTTGAAATAACAAATAATATACGCAAAAAAAAAAAATTATAATCGTTGCGTATGACAACAAAAATCCGTAAGACTCACCATGCTTATTAGCTTTGGTCGCATGAATTAACAGAGCATCAGGATGGCCACCCCTAATATCAGGGCCATCTTCTTCTGGCTTTTTAAGGACTAGATATTTACTAATGTCCAGCTCGTCGAGAATCCCGTCATCTTGATCAATATCCCTCAACTCTAAGGTGTTTTCGTCGACGGAAATAGAGGAGAGCGCATTACTCGCTGGTCTCGACGACGATCTTGAGTCTAAGGTGAGATTGTTATTATTATTGTTGTTGTTATTATTATTGTTGATGTTATTGTTGTGGTGACTATTGTTGTTGTTGCTGTTGATGTTGTTGTTATTCAAGGCGAGCAACGGAGATACATTATCCTTCTTCTCAGCTATCATGACTTGCTCCTCCTTTATTTCCTTAACAGGGGTCGACGTTATAACTGGATCTGGCGTACGTATCCCATGAATACTAACGGATGCCGGCTTTGGTGATATCGGCGGGGGTGTCATGTTCGTTCTAATGGATCGGGATCTTTTCGGTGGTAATGCTGGTGGTAGACTAGAGTTTGTCATTTCTTTCATCGTTGGGCTCATGCTGATCGATATGCTGAATAATAAAATGTATTCTTATTTAAATTATAAATAAGAGAATAATAATTTTTTTTTTTAAATAAATTATTTTTTTTTCAACTTAAATGTTATTTAAAAAATTTTAATAGCGTTGAGTTATAAAAAAAATCATAATTGCTTTTTTATATTTTAATTTCATTTAAAAATTAATAATTTACTTTTTGTTGACCAATAGTCAATTTATGGTGATAAATATTTTGGCTGCATTCGAAAACACTCTATCTCTAGATACATTATTAAGAAATAATCTTGTATCTCGTGAGCTATTGACATTTTTAAAGATATAAGCTCATCCCGATGTTACACTGATCAAGACCTTTCATTTGAGTACCCACATCAATTTTTCATATATTTATATATATTATATATAAATATATGAAAAATATATAAAAATGCATGTGGGTAGTCAAATGAAAGCTCTTGACGAGTGTAACATCGGGATGAGCTTATATCTTTAAAAACGTCAATAGTGGAAATAGTACAGTGCAATTTAACAAAGCAAAATTTTATTTATTTATAGTTCACAAGCCACGGCAATCACATAGTGACTGCAAGGTTGCTGTTCATAATTAATTTTTCTACTCTAATTTTACAAAATTAATTATTCACTATTTTTTATTAAATTTATGTTAATTATAAAAAAAAAAAAATGAATAATAATTTACCTAGTTCCATCGTGTAAGTTAGTCAAGGTATGAACCATTGAAGAACAAGATTGAGTCGTAGTAAGAGACATTTCGTGTTGTTGCCACTCTGCTTGCATCGAATTATAAGCAGCAACGGAATGTCGCGTGCCCAGCCCGGATATAAAGTCGTTCGTACTGTGCGAACAGTTTCCAAACATTTCCATGTATGCCATTACTGTAATTGTTAAAGTACTTTATATTAATTCAATTATACCTCCGTTAGCGGTATTTAATATCAAGCAGCGATTTGTGTGGGGAAAATGCAACGTGTATGATTATTCATTTTTTTTATTTATGTTTGCGGGTAAAAACTTTCTCAAAAAATATACTTTATTTTTCGTTATTACAAATATACTTCATTAACCACCGTTCATATTTTTACATTAAACTAATTTATTAAAAAAAATTCACTCAAATAATTTTTTTCAATAAAAATATGAATGGTAAAAAAAAATTGTTATCGTGTAAGTATATACTGCAAAGCTTAAAAATAAAATTAAATATTATACTTATTAAATAATAAAAATTAAAACTTAGAATGACAATAAAAATAAACTTCAATAAAAGCTTAACTCTCAAACGGTATCTAGGTATTTCATGGCACAGCGAAAAGGTTTTTTTCAAGGGAAAAAAATTCAAGTAAAATAGTAACAATAAATAGATTGGTAAAAAACAAACAATTTAATACAAGTACGAATTTTATGATTATATGATCATGCGACAATGTGAAGTAATCATAATTATAATTATAAGCCGTTGTGTAAGTCGCTCACATGTCTACGTAACCAAGTCAATCAGACATATAATTTGTTTTTTTTTCTCAAATAAATTTCTCAGTATGTAAATATTAATTTGTTATTGTTATTGGTATGTACTGTCAATGGATTCAAAAATTTATATCTATATGAAAACTTAGTATAGCGTGAGGATGGTTTTGCTGAGGGTGAGATATAAACGTGGGCGTGATCCCACTTACCGGAATATGCCACTGATTGGAACACTGGGGGATATAAAATATATGCGTCAGTTTATAAGACCTAACATAGTTTTATTATTATGTCTATGCAATATTACTTGGAAATTATAATAATTAAATAGATAGATAGATAGATAAACACTAGAAAAATTTTTTATTTACACGTGGAATAAACAACTATAATAAATACTATTTGAAACAGTAAAATCGTAATTATAACAATTAATTTATGATATTTATCATTTAAATGTGTAAATTAATTATGTAAACAAAGTAGCATTTAAAACAGTAATAAAAGCTATGTAAATATCGGAAAATTTTAAGTATAATAATTATAACTAATAATTCCAACAATGTTTATCATTTTACACCTTAAAGATTATCGTTTGATATGTAAAAAATATCAAGAAAGATTACTAAATTTTTATAGTAACAATTTTAGATTTTAATGTAGCCAACATCAAAATTTACAATTTTTTTTGTTTGAAACAATAATTTTTAAAGAGTAAGTCGTTATTTATTATAAGCCGCTACAAATCACCCTTTTAAACATTAAATTATAAATTTTGGCTTTTATACTTTTACACATTATGTTAATATTTAATTTTATGTCACCCCGGTCCGACGTACCATTTTAATTACTAAAAAGTAACCAGAATCTGATTAAATTTTACAATGTAATTTTTTTTCAAAAGTTTTTCCGTAAAAAAATTAATAAATTTATTATTAGTTTGAATTATTAATTAGTAGTATTAAAGAGCGAATGGAATAAAAGAAAAAAAATTTTTCTAGCGTGAAATATCTAATCCAAAGCACTGAGCTGCTGATGTAGATGTGTACTCGATTATATTAACCGATCGACTATACTCGTAGTTGGCAAACATATTTTTTTTGTTATCGGAACGAGTATTCAAATCATCTGCAGCGTCAGCTGGCCATAGTTTTTTTCTATCTGTTTTTTTATTATCTATTTTTTGTCTCTCTTTTTTAGCTAGTCAGCGAATAATTGGCAGCAGTTGATACGAGCAGAGTGACGATATTGAAATTTAAATGAGCATTATACTCAGTCTCATTGTATAATCGCGAAGTACTGAAGAGTGACGTATACTTGATCAAATACTGCCAACACTCGTTACTGATAATGCTTGTACTTACTGTGACGTTTCTTGAGGGGCAGAGGCGGCGGTTTGCTCGCGTCTGGACTGTCACTCGAGCTTGTGTGCAAACTACAGGTTGACAGGTGCTCATTTTCTGGTACATTGTCGTACTGAGACGGCAGACGCTCTTTACGCTTCTTCGATCGCTTCTCTGGTAACGCTGGTGGTATTCCGTTTGATTCCAATTCTTCTATTTCCTATCATAATAATAATTATTAAATTATTATTTTTATGAGTATTTATAATATTGTCAAGATTTAGAAAATTTCAACTAATAATTAATAATTTAAAACTACAAAAAAAAAAAAGTTTATTTGAATTAAAAAAATTTTTTCAGAAGATCTAAATTCTTTTATTTAGCAAATTAAATTTTTATTAATACAAAAAAATTAGTTCTTCAATGAAGAATTTTTTTTTTTTTGTGAAATTGCCTAGAATTACAAATTATAAATAAAAAAAAGCGATTTAATAATTTTTTAATATTTTTAAAAACACTATAGATAATTTGGGTATTTTTTTAATAAACTTTAAAAATTTTATAAATGTTTAAAATAATTTAATGAAAAATATCCCGAAAAAAATTTATAGAATTAATAAACTATTCAAATTTCTTTCAAAAATTTGACTTAAAAAATTGATTATTGAAAAATATCTAATGCTGTAATAAAGCGTAAAAAAAAATAAATTAATAAATGTTATCTATTTAGTTTGAAATGAGAATTTGCTTGTAATTATTATGAAAATTTATCATAATAAATTAAGTATCATTAAAAATTATTTAAAACTTTTAAAAGGAACAAATCTGAGATACTTTTTCAATGATACTAAATTTACCATAAAAAACTCATTTCTTACTTCGTAGTAACTTAAAAGGAAGAAAAAAAAACAAAAAAAATTGTAATACACCCACATTTACCAGTTTTTCAAGCAAAGCCGAGTCTGCATCACCGCTTATAGTGGTGGTGGTGACTGTATTTTTTGTGGAACTATGGGACGTCGTTCTGTGCGTCACGATCGAGTTCTCTGTGTCTGCTGAAATTTTTTGCTGGGAAAATGACATTTGCTGGTGGAGCTGGTGTTGGGCCATAGAGGAGTTATAACTCTGTGAATTGTAGCTGACACTACTTTGTTGAGAAGATCTTTTAGATGTCAAGCTTGAACTCGTGGTGTAACTTTGCGATGAGCTGCGCTGGGAGTGCATTGACACAAAACCCGATTCTTGTGTTTGGGTGGAAAGTCTTTCCATTTTTCCTTCAATGCCTGTAAATTACAAACACGATTCATTAAAAAAAATCACAAAATATAAAATTCAATTTTAAAAAATTGATCAAATAGAACTATCGACTTTGGAGTGTAAATTTAACAAAGTTTAGATGATAAAAAAAAAATAATGATAATTTTAATGACTTTTTGAATTAAAAATTTGATGATTATATAAATGAGTAATCGAATTTGTTTGAAAACAAAGTGAAATGTGGATCGTCAATAAACTTGTTTAATTGCCCGCGGTGCATCCAAATCGATCGACCCGTTTAGAGATATATATTTCATCGCGTATTTAACCCGAAGGCACTAATTCTCACTGAAAATTTTGATTGCTCGTTAAGCTGCTAATGACGGAATCAATCATTATTATATTAGAATTTAATAGAGATATTTACCTTACATTAATAATTGATATGATAATATTTCATTTTATCGATCGTTAAACGCTATCTTCTTATCTACTTATTTATAGAGTTTAATTACAAAAATTAATTTTTTTAATGAAAGTTGATAAAACGATAATTATTTATAATCATAAATAAACCCGTGACAGAAATTAAAACTTGCGTAAAAGTATAAATTTAAAGCCCAAAAAAAATGATTTTCAGGGCATGTTATTTTCGGTGGCGTAACGCCGCGTTTTGACGTAATTTATTGGTGAGCGAGCCGGATGCAGCAACATAGTAACAGATCCGTCCTAAAATATTTTAAGATTATTTTAAATCAAATGAAAAATAATAATAAAAATAAAATAGAAAGATCTAACTTTGTTGAAGTTGTAAACTTACCAGTTGTGAATGGGCCAAGTATCTCTTGAGGTGTTTGCTGACCCAACAGCATTGTAGTCGGTATACTCGTCTCAGATCCATCCCACCCGGTGCAATTGTTTGTTCCGTTTAATTGTAGTCCTTAACATAAACAATAACTCCGTTCAAATAGTTACATACAAATATAATTGTTTGCAAGTTTCATAAGCATTTAATTTTTAAATCATAATTTTTTATTACAAATCATTACCTAGACATATATCTCGTAATTCCATAAATATTTTGTCACACATTTCACGATTGCGCAGTAAAGTTTTTTTTTCCATTTTTAAAAATATTTATTCAATTTAATTTTTACAATTAAATTAAAAAAAATAATTATTTTAATAGCTTAAAATAAAATTAATAATAATAATGAGGTGTTTATCAATGAAAAATATAAACAAGAGTAACGGTAATAATGTTTCACTTTCGACAGACAACTAAAGAGCCGAGAGTCGAAACCAGACTGACTGGTAGAAGGTAGAATGAATATATATGCCTACTGACTGACTCCAGAGCACGCAGAGAATCAAATCCACAGTTCTACAGCTTTACAGCTGGTTGTTATATTATATATGTGTGACAGGCTGTTTCTGATGCGAGTTCTGCTGACTAATCGCGACTACTGTCACACACCGCGTTGTATACATGTAAGGAAACTAAGCCCAATCGGAATGAAAATGATCAAGCATCTGGGCTGGATATTACTTAGACACCTACTGAGTCTACTGATACAATAACAAGCTTCATATGTGTCCACATACATCTCATACATGGACAAATTAAACCCGGAGGAAAGTGTTGTAAACTCACACCGACTTACACCAACGCAAAAATACCGGGTTTTATTTACACACTCGTAAATTTATAAATATATGAAAGTTAAATTGAGGTTGAATTATCAGTGAGTCATATATAGAAGTTGTTTTTCGTTTATTTCTCTTTAAATGACCTCACATTTTCATTTACGAGGACTTTAAGTTGTATTTCAAATTTAAAATTTAAATTTTCGCGCCATTGATCTCAGCGCTGCCAGGAACTAAACCGTCCATTTTGTTTTTCGTCGCCCATTTTGTAATGAGTTTAATTCAGAAGAACTTTTGATGATAATTGAAGCTAACTAGCCGAAATTATAAGATTATCAATGAAAATTACCGTGAATAGTTGCCATGAGACTCAAATCCATGCTATCATTTAAGGACTCGTCATTAGGCCCCATAATAGCGCGGATTTCATCCTCGTCTCTGGAGTGATTTAAAGCGGAGTCTAGACTTCCTGCAGACGCACTGAGCAGCGATGAGGAATCCTCCGGGGAGCGACTTCTTAATGAACACCGGTCGAGACTCGATGCCAAGAAACCATCCGACTCGTCAAGCAATTGCTGGGCTCTTGTTCTTCTCTTTGGTGGCAGCGGCGGTGGGGTTGAAGAACTGTTCTCCTCTGATAGACTTATATTAGTCCTGGTTAAAAGAAAAAGCAACTTCAATAGTTTTCTTAACTTTTTTGTTATCTATAAGCTTAATTAAGCTCTCTGTTAATTTATTTACCAACTTTAGGATTATTTCAGATAGTATTAATACCTGTCTGGAAGCGGTGGTTTTGGCGGTGGACTAGAATCCCTTAGGATTGACTCAGAGCTGTGGGAACTACGGACTAACGTACTTGAAGCCGCTGTTTGTTCCAGAATCTGTCTTTCTCGTGGAGTTAGTGGTATGTCAGGAAGAGAATTTCGCTGGGAATTTATTTCTGTACCGTAACCTGACGTTCTAAAAAATTGAAAAGATAATTTTTAGTATTTTTAAATTTATTTTTTTTTTTCACATTTTATTTACAATAAATTACAAATTGTAATTATTCAATTATTTTTTTATTAAAAATAGAAAAGGTGCATGTTTTATTGATTTTATTTTATTTTTAAATTTATTAAAAGTTATTAAAGATAAAATAAACAAAAAAAAAATTTTTTTTTCTTTTTGTCTAAAATTGTAGTGATGAAAAATTAATGCAACTTCTCTATTACAAATGTTTGTCATAACTTTGAACATATTCCAAAAGTTAAACTCTACTTTATCAATGACTTGGCTCGAAAGTTAGGATTTCTCCTTTAGGCTTACATGCCCTAGGTCTAGCCCCAAAGGTAATGAATCGTTTAATTACGAAATACGTTTTCAATAGCTCGCCATATTGGGTAAATTCAATACTTGTCCTGTTTATAAAGGACTGTCCAATGAATACAAATTTCTACCTCAGTACTGCACTTATATTATATTAACTACAATTGTTAATAGGGTACTGCTACTGTACTTGAATTATTTAGCACTTTGCAGGTTCCATAAATTATCGATAAGTTCCTTCGTCTTGCTCTTCGAGATTCGAGATACAGACTTTCCAATTATTATTATTATTATTATTATTATAACTTTATATTCAGCGTTGGAGCATAATTACCGACTTAATATTTCAGAAATCTATGTAAGATCATCAAAGTTAATTTATGATGGGTTATCACTATCTAGAAGCTAATATTCTAAAGATAAATTTCTTGGGCTTAAATATTGAATTTAAAATTATTATTTGATATGATTTTTAATAAAAATAAAAAGAGAAAATTTTTTACAGAATAATAAGCTCATTAGGGAGAAGAAAATCTTATTAAAAAAAATTAGATTGTTGTCGCGTACCAACTTGAGATTAAGATCTGAGTCTTGAAACTCTTTTGGAAATTTTATTGAAAAATAAATTGCTGATTGGAAATTTGGAAAGCTAATAAGAGGTTATTTAGAAGATAAATTGATTTAAAAAGTAATGAAGGGTAAAGTTGTGTATAATTACCTGTTGTTGGTAGTAATAGGTGCTGGTTTTTGCCTATTTGTTATTTTCTCGTGTGCCAGACTAACTAAATTCTTAACAGCATCCTCAACTAATCCTATAACATGGGTCACGTTCTCCGTGTCTAAAGCTGGGCAGGGAGCAGATTGATCGCCGTGCAACAGCACGTCGTCGCAAAGTTTCAAAAGTTGGGCTAGGGCTTGGTAAACTTGATTTGTGGCTGAGCCCAAAGTCGAACTGTAAAATAAAATCGATAAATTATTTTAGTTTGGAAAGAAAAAAAATAGTATTTTTAATTTTGTATAATATCAATAATAATCAAATTTCTTGCCAAAACATTGAAGATGTTTTATAAATGCTTTACAAAAAAGTTCTTCTGCAATTTTACCATTACTTTTATCATTTAGTGAGAAATTTAATTTTAAAGTTACAAAATTTTGAAGTTTAAAAATAATATTATCGTTAATAATGATAATAATGATGATAAGTATTTAGGCTTAAATGCTCTATTTAAAAAATGCTCTATTCCTAGATACATAATTAAGAAATGACCTTGTATCTTGCGCACGATTGACATTTTTTAAGATATATGCTCATCCCGATGTTACACTTTTTGTAACCACTCATCAAGACCTTTCATTTGAGTACCCACATCAATTTTTCATATATTTTATATATTTATATATATTATATAAATGTATATATGAAAAATATATCAAAAATGCATGTGGGTGCTCAAATGAAAGCTCTTGATAATTGGAACATCGGGATGAGCTTATATCTTTAAAAATGTCAATAATTAAGAAATGACCTTGTATCTTGTGAACCATTGATATTTTTAAAGATATAAGCTCATCCCGATGTTACACTCATCAAGACCTTTCATTAGAGTACCCACATCAATTTTTCATAAATATATATATATATATATATATATATATATCGAGATGAGCTTATATCTTTAAAAATGTCAATCGTTAAAAAAGTACAGTGCAATTTAACAAAAGTCATTATTTGATAAAGCAAAATTTTATTTATTTATAATTCACAAGTCGAGGCAGTCACATAGTGACTGCAAAGTTGCTAGTATATAATAATAATAATAAAAATAGTTATAATAACAATAAAAATTTACCTATTCTCATAGAGAAGATAAGACTTGAGTACAGTGTGTATGGTAGTAACAGTGTCTAAAACAATGGTGCCATTACCGGGTAACATCTCCAACTTTTTCTTGGACACAACATCACGAAAATGTAGTAAAGCCAGTTGAACTTGTCTGACATGTATATGAAGATCACGTAGAGGATTTTTTTCAAGAGTATCATTTGCGATGGGGGTGTTTTTTTCCCGAGGGGTGCGGGGCGATGAGGGCGATGCTGCTCGCGTAGTAACACCACCAGTGTTACCAGGACCGGTTCCGCCACCACCCCCGCCGCCTCCGACGCCTCCGGAATTTATCCCCGGTGAACGCATCTGGGAGAATTTTTCGAGAAAATCCTCTTTGAAGGAGCGCGCACGTCGGGCGAGTTTGCTGCCGCGTGCTTTTCCGCTGGGACGCTCCTCTACGTCTGAAAGTACAAAAAAATAACAACTTTTACTATTTATCTTTTACTTGATGAGAATATTTCATTTATATTAATATTCACGGCTGTAGTTTCTTAATAATTGCATACATCTCTGTGAAATAGGAACAAAGGTACCTACTAGAGGATGTTCTCATGGAAATTACAATCCTGCTAGTCCGCTAATGCTGGGACCCAAGATAAAGGCCACTAAGGCCAATTAAGCTCTTACGTGTCTATTTAGCACTCAGACATTTTAACTTTAACTCCTGAGAATTTTTATTTTGTATCAAGGGTTAGTTAGCACGTAAGGTCAGTAGTTTTGAGAAAAATTAAGAATTAAAAAAAAAATTTTATTTAATAATATTTTTTGTCAATTTTTTATGTTAATCATAATTAAATTTAATTATTAATAAGTGACCATAATTCATAAAAAAAATTTTTTTTGATCAATAGAAAACATTTTTTTTTAAGCCAAATTTTAATTTTTTCAAAAATATTTTTTCTTGTTTGAAAACAATTCAAGTTTTTCTAGACCATTTTGTTAGTTTAAGTCTTTTTTTCTTTAGCGAAACTTAAATTGTTTATGTAGATTGATAGAAAAATTAATTTGATAAAAAAAAATTAAAGTGATGGTACCAAAATGAAAAAATTTACAAAATTATATAAGTAACTTATTTTTTTTATTTAAAAAAAAAATTATTTTGAATGGCAACTAATGAAATTAATTTCATAAAAAAAGTTCATTTAGCAAACATTTGTTTATAAAAAAAACAAAATATCTTTCCATTCTCTTTCCTTTTATCTCCACATTAATGAACCCATAAAAAGAGTGCTGGATATTTATTTTGTTCGTTTAATTATAACCTTTCCGTTTGCTAGTACAGAAAACAGCGTTCATATATATTTTTTCCACACTGTTTTGGGAATTAGGGAACAATTTGTGGACACTAGGGATTGAATGAGTGAGATCCCCTGGCATTGTGCCAGATCACGTGCATATTTCTTATTCGTCTGCTGGCACATCCATGCTCACTGGTATGGGAAAAAAACTTTGCTTTTTCTGTTTGGAAACCTCGAAAAAATGAATAAAAATAAAAACGAGTATTCCAAGCACTGGAAAAACACCAGTGGGATGTGCCAGCACGTGCATACACGTATTTGTCTTTATTTGTGACCAAAGAATAGATTCACTCTGTAACGGAGCAAGAATCTTTACTTTGATGAGTGTGATAAAATTTAATTTCACTCCTTCTCCTCTTCTCCCTTTTACTGGTTCATATATTTACAACAAAAAAAAGAAAAAAAAAGTAAATAAACGTATGTAATTCCGCAGTAGAATTTTTTATTCAATTAAAATTCTTTTTCCCAACCACCAAGTGGTAGAATAAGAGAAGACAAGAATAGAAAAGAGTAGATCCAATTACGGGGGATGAAGATTGACAAAGGTGTGGAAATAGCCTTCACTCGGATGAAGGTGAGGAAAAAGAGAGAAGGGGAATGGCAATATAGAGAACAAAGACAGTAATTGAGTAAAAGAGACAGTAGATTAAAGCCAATACTCCCGTTGAAAACGTCATTTAATTGCACGATCCACGATCAACAGTCTGTATATGGTAGTGTCTGTTAGTATTAGGACCGAGGCTATTGTTTACAGCGACGTGGTCGTAAACAGGTACAATGAATTGAAATTAAACCTGGATGTCTATTTGAACGACTTTGATCAAAAGATTCACTCAATGGCTGACAATACTCTATTATTTTCCAATTCTTCCCATGTGTACAAATAAAACCCATTATACTTTGTCCAAGGATTCATTTACTTATACTTAATTACATTTTTAATTATTTGGATTTGTGTTTATATTTAGTTGTGGAATGTTTGTAAAGTTGGAAAAAAATAATTATTAATAAGCGACGTTTCTCTGTAATTAAATTTTTTCTCTTTGTAACTCTTTGTCAGTTCGCACATCCTTTGTTTACAGAAATATAAAAAAATAGATGGATTTATACATGGGAATTTCAATTACGAGTGATGCAATAATTGCATAAATTTTTTTCTTTTAATTATTTTGTTTACAAAATTGGGTATATTATAAAACATCGATAATAAAAAATTATTAAACCAATTCTTAAATTTTAACTTGCGATTTTAATGACAAATTTGATGAAGGATGCTAATTTTTCATTGAAAAAAAAACTTTAAATATTTATTTACATTTAGTCTTTTAATTATTTGGAATTATTGAAATATTTGTGTTAAAAAAAATTAATTTATTAACAAAAAAATAATTCCCAATGAATAAAAAGGCGTAATTCGTTTACGTTCACTAATTTAACTTGAAGTAAAATTTTAAATAAATAAAAGACAGTAAAGCGAATAATTAAATAGCGAAAGTCCAAATGTTATTCGCTGGAAAAACTAAAAAAGAGACTAACTATTATTTGTTTGAGCGAATGAATTGCGGCAATTACTATAATTAGATTTTCGTTCTATCAGCGCAACATTTATTGATTAATTTATTTTGAGTTACGGGAATAGAATGGTGTTCGACAGATTCCATTAAGGACCTTTTATCATCAACAAGAGGGTAGAAACTCTTAAGAAAAAAAAGGAATGGACAAGTTTGTTGCCCTGAAGCGTTCGTCTTTCTCATTACTCTTCCACTTGTTTCTCTCTAACTCTGATAGCTAGCACAGATAAAGTGCAGGAATAGGGCTGGTATTTTTTTTTGTCTTTACCAGCTGAGATGATGCACGAGTGCCGGAAAAAAGCGCGCGATACATCATCAAAAAGCAAAATGAAATGAAACAAAACAAAGGGCCTCATAATACCGAACTAAAAAAGGAATGATGGGGAGGAGGGAAAGGAACGAAGAGGAGGGAAATCAAGTTCTATTCACGAATTCGGATTGAAACTCCAATCAGGCGTGATTTTGCCAAAGGCACAGGAACCCCTAGAGGAGGATAATAGTCGAGAACAGAGAGGACCGAGATACCAGGCACATAACATAACTAGAATTGACAGCGAGTTTGAGAGAGATAGAGAATTATAGAAGCATCGAGCAAGTCGGTTGTGTACTGTACTCCGATCCTATCCCGCTGTAAAGTGAAAGAGGATAGTACCTAACCGGGATTGAGATTGTGAGGATTCAGAAGAGGATATGCAAATTGCCATGATTGACTGGATTCGATAGTCCTGCTGCTGATCGAACCCAACTTCCCTGTCTACCTATCTACCTACTGAGGTAATCACGCCGTCATTTGCAATTTATATTCAATATTTATTTCCCGAGATCCGCTCGAATTTTAAGTTTTTAGTCACTTTTTATTTTTTTTCTAGGATTTTATTTTTTTTAATCCTTTCTTTTTTTGTGGAAATTTAATTAAACGTGGTAAAAAATTTTCCTTCTTTCAAAAGTATTTAATACTTTTGTGTCTTGATTTAATTTTATTGTTTCAAATTGATGCATAAAAATGAACCATTTAATATACTCGTGGAAATATTTTGTGGTATGATCAATTTTCATATACTAAAAGAAAATATTTTTGTGATAATTATTCTAATTTATATAAAAAAATTCTTAATAGCTTTAAAATTCGTGTAATTTTAAATGATTGGAGTTACGGAAAAATTAATATAAATTAAATTATCTGCAAAAAAGATTCCTTGTAATTTTTTCGCGTTATCAATATTAATTAACTCTCTTCTCAGCAGGTTTGAAATTCTTATATCTTATAAACATTAAAATATCCGAAAAAATTGTAAGAAACTTTCGTTGTAGATAATTAAATTCCCTACAAAGAATGTCTTCTGTAATTTTCTTTTGTCTTCAATATTCAACTCAGAAATTACATTTCAAATTTTACAATTTTTTTTTTAACGAAAAAAAAAGCAATCCTTTTATGTTGGAGGGGTTCATCAGAATTTTTTTTTACAAACAAAATTGTCGATGTAGAAATTAAAAAATCAATGACTGCAATTTGGCTTTTTACTCCCAAATAAATTCTTTCATTACAATTATCATAGAAATAATCTTGAAATTCTTTGTTATTAAACGCGATATGAACCCGCTCGCTCGAATAATCGATACCACGGTTATCGGAAACAAATTAGCGACTAATTAGTGCGCGAAATAAAATAATTAATTTGAATTTCGGCCAACTATCATTTGCAGAACAAAATAAAATTCTTAATCAGCAGTTTTACGACTCAACCGAAATAAAACTCGGCTAATAGATATAAATTTATCGAAATTACCAATTGCCAAGAGATATTAACCAGCGGTAAATTTATCACCGAATCTGTTGGTGACTTTCCGACATTTTCGGGATTAATTAATTTATAAATTTAACAAGAATAAATATCAAATATTAAATACAATTAAAATAATAAAATTTAAACATTGTATAGAGAGTGGAGCATAAACGGTGGTGATGGTGATGATAAATTGAATGTAGAAGAGCCGAGTAGAATGTTGAGTTTAGAGTGGTCAGGTGTACTTTAATTGCATTGGTGTTCCTCACACCCACAGCCACTGAAATAGTTTCTCTCTTTCACTCTATTCTCATTTTCTCTTATCACATTCTCTCAGCGTGGGTGTTTCACAGCTACCACTATTACCGCTAGTATTGCTAACGCTGTTACTATTACTGTAGCTTAAATCCCATCGCACTCGGGAGTGTACTCTACGATAAGTTTCCACGTGAATCGATTCTGTTTCAAATTCATTCAGCTATATACATCTATATATATATATATAAAGATATGTAACGAGCTTCATGTAACACATGTCGCATGTAATATAGTTTATCGAGTTTGTCTCTTGTTACCAACCTATCAAACTTTGTTAACCGTCATGTCAACTGATTGATACTCAAGTTAATACTATTGTCATAAAGTTCATTCCATTTTGACTTTACTTGTAAATAAATTATACGTCTTTAACTTAAACTTTAACTTATTTAAACAGTTACTAACTTTTGGCTCTATACAAACTTTTA